AGCAAAAAGAAAAAGCCCAATCCAAAACCACCAAAATCCATGAACAACGCACCACTGCAATCCAACAATGTCGTCTCGGTGGTCTCCATGATGTCCGATGGACACATGACACCTGAGGAAGTCGAGAGGCACTTGGAGTCCAGGCAGACGTATCTTGAATTGGTACCTGAAAAAGCGCCTCCCACTGTTCCCACTGAAATGTTCAGCAATGATCCATCATTGGACAGTGAATCCAATGACCTTGGGGAAATGGAGACGTCACCTAGTAATATGGGAGAGGATTGTCTGAGTGTGGAGATGATGGGAGAATAAAAACGATAGGAAATTGAGAAAAATCTCGGGAAAAATCCAATGAATTTATCCTGCTGGTGAATTTTTTTTAGATGAACACCTGCACATGGGGCAGGAGATCATCGCCATGGGGAAAATATTTCATGACAGGACAGAATCCTCAGGATGTAATCGATTACGTTAATTGTTTATATTATAAATAAATTGTCTGAATGCCCCAGAACGTGGGGGAAACCAGAAAAGTATTCACATGTTCAATAATTTTTTTCAATTCGATCTTTCTGTTTACTCTCGAAAAAATGAAATACAACTGCGAACAAAAAAATGAATCTCTCTTGTCTTTTCTTCTAACCACTAATTTAAGAGAAAATTCTACAGTGACTTCTGGATTTTTTTTCATTTTTTATAAACAAAAAATTAATAATGAGTGATGAGAAGTTGATTTTGAGAGTTTTGGAAGATATTTTGGAGTCAGTGGCTCCAGTGGATGATGAAGTAATCGAAAAATCCGGGGATGAGGCCCCGAGGAGATTCAAAAGATCGACTTTCAGTCAGACTTCGATCGATGGACTCTGCAGGATATGCTACGATGATTTGAGATATCCAATTATTTATCCCTGCAGGTGTAAGGTACCCGAGAAAATATGAATAATGGATATTTGGGACTGAAACAAATGGAAAATAATATTTTATTCTGATAATAATCTTATGTTTATTAATTACATATTTATAATTAACGCAAGAATTTTACTATCAATTTTTCATCGATTAAGGTACTTTTCAACATTTCATTTCTAGAATCTCGATATTACCTCGAGCATGACGTTTTCCCCCTAAATCCATTCATCTCAACTCCACCCACGTCTCCCAGAGAAATTCCTCAAATTTTCATTTTCAAACGAGAAAAATCTCCCGAAAAATCCCGTAAAAATAGAAACAATTGATCTTTATTTTTAATTAACTAGTAACTAAATAAATTCTTATTAGATAATTGAATTAATCCCGTGAATTCGTGAATTCCTGCAGAAAAAATCGAACTATTTATATTTCCTGGGAGAGTAGACGGAAATCGTATGGATTGATCCCTGAAATTAAAAAATTAAATAATTTGTTTTTAATTAAATAAATATCAGGGAACAATGGGTGCAGTGCACCAGCCGTGCCTGGAGCGATGGCTGGAGGAGTCAAACAGATCTAGCTGCGAGGTATGCGGATATCCCTTCGACGTAGAAAGAACACCCCGACACTCACCCTTCCATTCATTGGTGATATACCTGAAGAAATCCCCCCGGGATCTTCACATATCCATAAGACCACCAAAGATCGACCTCATACGTTGTCTAGCCTTGACGGCAATGACCCTCGCTGCAATCTACATCTTCATCGTAGCTGGTGATTTCTACTCGTCAAATAATTACGATAATTTTCCACCAGCAAAATGGACAAACTATTCTCTCGTATTTGTTGGATTTTTGATAGTATTCTCGTATTTTATCTGGATAACTTGGACCCTTGATTATCATAAAAATGTCTGGTACTGGTGGTGGCAGAAAACAAGTATTGTCAGAATGAATTATCATCGTCACTCGGTAAATGAGATGAAAAATTTGAATTTGAGTTGCAATCGCGTGATCTCGAGAGTCTGAGGACAATCCTCGGTTTTTTTTTATGTTATGAGGCCCGTCGCTTTATGGAAACTTTTCCACGGCTCAATTGGGCTGTGAATATCCGAACTTTTGATGCATCCGATACTTTTTTCACCCAGATCTGAAAATAAACGATTTATCATCAATTTATCCTTTCAATTTTTCGATTTATCCTCCATTTCTAATTGAAAAAGGAATTTCTGATGAATTGTCATTTCATTTTTGAGATTTCATTCCTTTTTTATGGAAGAGAGATGACTTTTTTGATAACTCACAGCTTCAGTTCCAATCGCTGATATGTGAGCAGCGAATTTCGATAAATCCTTTCCTTCCACGTAAATCGGTTGCCCCCTGTGGTACCTAGACAATCATAAATCAATTTTAATAAAGAATCTGAAAGGAGATATAATAATAATTGCCCAATAATTACCATCTTCTCTCATACAATAATTTTCCATCTTCAATTTTCGTTTCGACTAATGGACCCTCGGACAACTGTGGAATGTGTGACGCTGGAATATTTACTGGATTATAATGTGGCATGACCACTGAAAACGCAAATTAATCAGCAATTAATGCATTAATTTAAATTTTCAATTAAAAAATCAATGAATGGAAATAATTACCCTGTTTTCTCACGGCAGTCATGACTTTTCCTCTGCTGATAGCTTTCAAATCATTCTCCACCTCTTTCTCATCCAGTAAATAATTAACTTGTACCTGAAGTACTTTTCTCCTCTTTTCCACCTTTTCAGGTACAGGATCGTTAGGTCTTCGTCTCAATTTCCTCGTCATCACGGGTTTTACCTTGAATATTACGATAAAATCATTAAAATGACAATTCAATAGGCAATAAACATTTGAAATTGACAAGATAATCATTTTCAAACTCTTCCCCGTGATTAATTTACTTCTCTATCAATCTTCCACCTCTGATTTGATTCAACTGACTTATTTATTACCTTGTATTGCTGTAAAAATCGATAAAAAAAAAATTAATAAAAAATTACATTCAATATCTCACATTTTCAGCAAATTAACAATTGGTGTTTAATTTCTAGAATAATTTCATGATTAATTTAGTAAAATTCTGGGACAGGAGTGGGTGGGATATTTGAATGAATTTATCTGGAATTCGGGGGATTAATTAGTGGTTTAATTACCTCTGTCGAATCGCCAGCTAGTTCCATCGTCTGTCGATCAGATTCAATCATTTTTCTCTTCTCCTCCATGTCGGCCAATAAATTCTCCTTCAAATCAACTTTTTTCTCCTCGTACTCCTTGGCTGCGGCTTTTTGCTCTAATTTGTAATCTTTCTCGGCCCAATCAATCAAGTAATCACGATAAATTTCGTTCAAACATAGTCTGATGATAAAAATTCATAAAAAAATGACAAGAATATCATGAACGAGTGTCACATCAAATAAATTAACATATCGACGACTTCCCAATTATTTTCACACCCACAGACCCAATATTCATTATTTTATAATTATTGTTACGAATATTTAGTGCAAGAGTAATTCGGAAAAATGAATTTTACCTCTCGTGGTACTGCGTCTCTAGTTTTTTCACCTTTTTGTTGTACTCCGGGTGAATATTATCCTTCAATTGCTGCAATTGCTTTTTTAAATTACCCAATTTGTCTTGATAAATCCTGAAACGAATTAAAAAATCAATAAACAATTGAATTAAATAATATTTCGTAGGAAGGTGGAGAATATTTTCTCACTGCTCTTTAATCTCCGTGTATTCCTCAGACTTTCCCATGTCTGTCTCACTGGCCTCTTCTGTGTCTGTAAATAAATAATATTATTTAATTTAACAACAATTATAAATCCTCTCCGAACAAGTCCAATCAATTATAAATCTCTTAAAAAATAATTAGAGAGTAGATTCAACTGGAATTGACGAGAAGCGAATGAAGAATGGATTATGTGTCAGATTTAATGGGAGTAATTATTTATTTATGGGGGAGGAACAATAACAATTACCTTCATCCGTTTCATCGGGATCTTCGACATCTCTCTCATCATCCAAATACTCTTCGTTGTCCTCGTCGAGGTCGTAATCCTCTGGTCCATATCTCGCTGAAAAGGGTGATCCCTGATACGACATTTCTCCAAAAATTTCAAAAAATCACGCTCCAATCACCCCCACTCTTTTCACTTTCAAAATAAATTATCCAATGGCTTCAATAAATCCCCGATAAATCGTGAGAGCCTCTGGAATTTCTCCAAAAAACTCCAAAATCCTTCAAAAACCTCTGAACAACAAAACAATCTATTCTCTAGGTTAAATTTCTCTTCTTCCACCCTTCCCGCCCCTCCCGCCCCTTCCGCTCCATCAAGTCACTAAAAAACCCCCACCCAACCGCTGGAGTCAAAACAACTCCCCAAAACCGGAAGTCATCCCGAAATCCCTCAAACCCCAAAATCACCCCCTCAAAAAAATTCCTCCATAAATCTTTCAAAAAATCAACCCCCAAAATACCCCCCATTCCACCCTCAATTGACCCTATACCCACCCGCTCCCGCCCCTTTTCAAATGCCGCGAAAAAAAAATTGCAGACGATTTTCTCTCAATTTTTCAGTTCGACGCAATGAATTTTCAAAATTCTCACAATTTTGGAATCACCAGGTGAAAATAAAAAACAATAAAATTCTCAGGGGATTATCAAACGACGCGCCATTTCCCGCGCATTTCCCCTACCCAGGATGCATCTCAAGGGGTGGGAGACGCGGGGCGGCCATTTTGTCGCTTAAAAAAGGCCTCCCCTCATTCCAAAATGAAAAATCCGTTGAAAACAACCGACAGTAGCCGAAGGTCGACGCTTGTAGCCGTTTTTTTCCGTCGTCTGTGTTCGTCCCCCCAAAAAGATACTAAATAAATCCGACAAAAATTATTGGTTAGGTTATTTAACCCCAAGTGCCAGTGAAAATCGTTATTATCTCCCAGTGAGTACTTCAACAAATTAATGACTAAAAATTGAACAACGGGGTACGCGTTAATTGTCGGTGATAAAAATGTTGTGGAGTTTTTTTATTGAATGTAAAATGGAGTTTTTCAGTGGCTTGGCGCCAGTCCGCCATTGCCAACGTTTTATTGAAATTACATTCGTGATTACTGGAGATACATTTATTTAATCATGGCAATTACTCGACTTTTGTTTTTACGCTGATGATTGATTAGCGATTTCAGGGATTTTTTTTTCATTATTTTTTGGGGTGCATTTCCGGAGTTTTTGGGGCTTGTGCACCGGTTGGGGGTTAGTGGGACTTATGCAATGATCTGTCGCAGTTGCCTGAGTTCATTTCGTGGGGTATAACCTCTTTTTTTCGGATAACCTAGAAATTAAATGTCAAGTCCGGGGTTTTTTGGGGTTCGAACAAATTATTCGTTGAATTAACAATAATTATCCTCGTCCATCATTTAAATATTTCCCCAAAACATTTAATCATTCGATTCGACTCTTACAAATCGCCCAATCGATCTCATTATTTCCGATTATTTTTGATCATTTCTGATTAGTTGTACGTCGGGTTAATTGCGATAATCGTTTGCCTTTGGAGAATAAATTAATTTTAAGTCCTCGCGACGGTTCCCGGGAATTAATTAATATTCCTCATTACTGGGTCAAAACCGTAATCATCGTTCATTTAATTGTAATCGAGATTTAATGAACTTCCGGAAATGACTAGGTGGGATAAATCCATTGGAAAGTGACTCTTGAAATTAATAACAATCACAATTTGCAAACAAAAAATAAATAAAAATTGAACATCGAATTTCGTTGTAAATCCTCAGAAATTTTCCAATTTTTCACTTCAAAACTGGAGACTAAAATTTCCTGCAAATCATAATTTATCATCATTATTTATTTACCATTTAATTATTTA